GGGTTTGAGGTTTAGGGTTTCGGGTTGTCAGCGTTTTTTTGTGAAGTTTCCGCCATGAGCCTAATTTTGAGTGCAGAAAAATTGGCAACAGGGTCCCTTCAAAGTTCACACCTAATCATGAACGCCCAGACCTTATTCTGACTGCCTCTACATGTCAGGTGAGTGGAACTTGATGTTTTGGCTCCTCTGCACCATCTTCTTTGTGGGCTTTGTCTGCGTATTGGTTCAGCAGCTCGGATAAACCCAGAACTTCCAAAATCCCTTAGTTAAGGAATATACCTTAAATCATATTAGGGATCCTACTATAGTTTAAGGTATATTCCTTAATTAAGGGATTTTGGAAGGTCTGGGAACCTCAGAATCAACGCAGGCGTTGGCTCCGGGATGGTGTAGAGCTTGAGGTTTTAAGGTCTAGGCAGGTCAATATGGAGGTTTCCGAAAATTGGGGGTGCCTTATTTTGGGGTCCTTATAATAAGGATCCTACTACATAGGGTACTATATCAGGGTCCCCTATTTTCGGAAACCCCCATATATAGACTTCTTTTTAAAGTTGGCCAGGAACTACATGATGTCCGTGGCCGTCCGGGTTGTTGCAGCCTCGGGGGTCATGAGGTGGAATCCCAGATTCCTAGACAGCAAACCATGTCATGAATCCCAGAAGACCCTGAATACTGAGCCTGCATCGGGAGGTTCTAAACGGGTCCTCAACCTCTTTGTGAAAACTCTTCTACAGTCCCCAGCAAAACTCACGGGACAAAACCCTTTGTTGGAGCGCTCCGCTGGAGGCTTCATAGCCTCGCCAAGCTGGTTGCGGCGTTCCCTTGGTCTCAAGAACTCGCTGGTTTTTTCCTGCTTCAGGGTCTCGGGTTTTAAATTTAAGGCTTATAGAGTTCAAGCGTCTGGGTTTTTGTTCCCGGAGTTTCAGGATTTCAAGGTTTAGGGCTTTATCTGCATCAGTGATTGGAGTTTAGTGTTTCAGCTTTGTGTTTTTTGACGTTTGCTTGGGTGTTGTCTTTTGTGGGGCTTTTGTTGCGGCTCAAGACCTAAACCGGTAACTCTTTACTGCAGCACTTGCGTTGAGCACGTGTGCTGTTTTGGTGTGTCAGGGTTTTTGGGCATGGCATTACGTGTTGGCGTGGTCCTGTGCAGTGTTTTGGTTTAGGCCCTATTGGAACGGCTGTCATGCCGAAGCCCATTCACAGGACCTCTCCACTCGTGCCTAGTCCAACAACCTGTGGCTATGGGCCAACAAAGTCTTGGGGTGGTGGAATGCCTCTAATTGGGCTGTTCATGCGCGCAAAGCGCTATAGCAACTGTTATAGAACCCTGGATAGTAGGCCTGCAGGTACATCTCGCGGCATGTTGAGAAGAGCCAACTCTTGTGTCAAGGTTTTATGGACTTGGGAAAAGAAAACCTAGGGTTTTGAGTTTGTAGGGGCTAGAGCTTATAGGGTTTAGGGCCCATACGGTTTAGGGTTAGGGTTGCGCTGTCTTCTTTTGACAGCAAGCCGCACTGCACAGCTAAGGTTCATTTGCAAGGATGCCGTGTGGAATTTCCCGAACAAGTGCGTCGATGTTCACGCATACTAAAAAATTCTCGTGCGCCGAAGTCGCTTTAGGACATGTGTTACGACATGTTAGATGTAGGAGCTGTTCGATCAAGAGGCAGGGTCCGCTGGCTTAGCTACCACGGTCTCTGCGAAGCATGTGCAAGTCTGAAGAGTCTAAGTGAGGTGTGGGCATGTATGTATGCAGGCATGTATGCATGTGCGCATGTGTCGATGTTTCTATGCATCTAACAAACCTGTCTACATACCTAAGTACCTACGTATCTATGTGCCTGTGTAGCTATGTACCTATCTATCCGTCCGTCTGCCTGACTGTCTAGTTATCGCTCCATCTTTCTACATATTCATCTATGGATTCGTCTATCTGACTACCTACCTATATAGCTGTCTGTCTGTCTATCTCCCTGTCTATCTATCTAGCTACCTAGCTATCTATCCATCAATCGGTCGATGCAGCTGTCTATTTATCTACGTGTCTGTCTATCTTGTCATCTATCTATCTATAGCTACGTATCTATCGATGTATATGCCTATCTGCTTACTTAGCTGTCGATCTATCTATCTATCCATCTGTCTATCTGTCGTTGCATCTATATGTATGTAAGAATGGCAAGATCACATATAAAGAGAGATGAATACATATAACTATGTATATATATATACATATATGTATATATATATATATATATATATATATACCTATGTCTGTGTCCATGTCTATGTCTATGTCTATGTCTATGTGTATGTATGTATGTATGTATTTAGGTATGCGTGTATGTATTTGTGTATGCATGTATGTATGTTACATGTATATGTGTCATCTACATATCGTATTCCAATAATACGTCTATAGTATAAACGAAGTACATGTGCACGACGTGCAGACGGCTAGATGAAGGGGTTCCCACAGGTAACCAAAGGCGGCACCGTTGGGGCTCAACACCAGGGAATGTCAGCAGGAATTCGGTACACCAGCCTGGAAGAGAAGAAGGGTCTAAAAGGATACCCATAATTTAATGGTACTGAAAGGGTTACGTGAGCACGACCCTGAATTGCAGCACCTTTGGAGGGTCCAAGAGTCGGCTCTGACCCTGTAGCCTGTAGTATGTAAATCACGTAGCCAGACGAAGGGTACTACAAACTACAGGAGCTATGTTTCTAGGCCGAACCCGACCCCCTTTCTGGAAGCATCTCGTCCAGCAGAACTGGAAGTCTAGTGCTTTATGATGGAACAGCTCCCGTTTGAGAATCGTTGCTCCTGCAAAACTGCAGAGCGACTCTTGCAAAAGCAATGCCCCTGGTTTCAAGAAAATACTATAGGGGCCTTAATAATGACCTATACTATTTTGGGGGTTCCGTATTATGATTATAGTATAACGGGCCCCAAAACCCTATTCTAATTATTAAGGCCCCTATATTAATGCAGTTCTGGCCGGGTTGAGTCCGGATGAGCGCTGTGACCAAATTCGTGCGCTTTGGTCGTTTTTGGTGCTTCGAGCTCCATGTTCTGAGCACAAAGCTTATCATCATACCCTTCTGGAGCCCCTCTGAACACCTTAACTGCAAGACTGTTAAATATTTTAAAAGCATGTAAGATCTTAGGGGTTGGAGATATTCTCGTTTCGCCTTCAGATGACCTCCTTCAAGTCGTAGCTGTTTGCATGAGGGGTTCCTTGGCTTCCTGAGGTGCAAGGCACGGAGCAGAGTTTACGGGCTTGGCTTGGGATTTGTGCTGTGAGCCATGTATAGAGGCTTGCATATGGGAGTTTCCGAAAATAGGCGACCCTAATATAGTACTCTAAATAGTAGGATCCTTATTATAAGGACCCCAATATAAGGTACCCCTAATGTTTGGAAACTCCCATATGGAGTATTTCTATCCTCCTGTATATTCAGCAGTTTGCAATCTGAAATCCCACTGTTTTCATTATTGAGGCCCCGGTTTATGCACCGAGAAATTTTGGCAAAGCCCCTTACTCGCAAGACACACTGAGCGGCAACAACTCCCCCAAAGCTGCAACATGCAAGTCTGCCGTGCCTCACTACCCCGGCAAACTTTCTTGAAAGTCCTCAATCGGCAGTCACAGTCTCAGTCCAGCTACATTCTCCGGGATCCAACGTTGAACTCTAAACCCTAAGCCCAGGACCCCGAATCCTAAATCCTGAATCCTAAGTCCCACAGACCTATAGTCCTGGAGCCCCAAACCCCCAGGCCCTAAGTCCTGGAGCCTTAAATCTTAAGCCCTAAAGACCCTAAATCCGAAGCCCGGAGCCAAATCCTAAACCCTAAACTCCTAAACCCTGAGCCCGAAGCCCTAAACCGTGTAGAGGCCCGAGACGCCCAGACGAAAGGAGGGTGGGGGGACCTGGCACCCAAGATGAGTGGGAGTTTCCGAAAATAGGGGACCCTAGGGTTCCGTAAAGGGATCTGGACGGGTCTATAAAGGGTTTAGGGATTAGGGTTTGGGGAGTTTCCGAAAAAAAGGGGACCCCAATATAGCACCCTAAATGGTAGGATCCTTGTTAGAAGGACCCCCAAATAAGGTACAGTACCCCTAATTATCGGAAACTCCCGAGTCCGTAAGGAGGGGTTGAGTTTAGATTCTGGTGTTGGGCTCAAGGTGTGGCGTGGGATTCTTGTGGCTGTCTGGGATTAGTTAATGCCTCTTTGGGGGTTCCTCGTTTCGGCAGGAGTTGAGTTGAGGGCTTAGGCTGGGGTGTGTAGGCTTGTTATTGGGTGCTTTGCAGGAATGTGTTAAGGTAGCGCGTTAAGGGTGCAGAGGATAGGCCCAAGGCTTCTTCATCAGGTTCCTACATTACTTCCTGAGGGTCCCGAAGGCTGATCCCCCAAAATCTTAACAGGTTCCTGTCCTGTCTAATCTCGCCATCAGTGACCCCCAAACCCTTATCCCGACAAAACTGAAACCCCAAAGCCCGAAACCCAACAATCTCTGACCCTAAACCCTAAGACTCTGGGACTTTAAAAGGTCTGAAGCAGTGATGATCTGCAGCCATGGTTCCGGCGACATGGCAATGGATCGACATGGACGTTGGAAGAAGCAATAGTAGTCCAAAGCTTCGAAGCCCGAATTGCGAAACCGTGGGCTCCTCATCAAGGGCGAGATTAGGGTCTAGGGTTTAGGGTTTAAAACCAGCTGAACGAAAAGCTCATCCACGCCCAAACCCCATGTAGCAGCAGAACAACTCCACGAGCCCTGGCTCAACCACCACAGAATCCCTGGCCGTCCAACAAAACACCGAGACTCCTGGTTTTTCAACCCGTCAACATAGCCTACAACTCGTAAGCCTTCTCAAAACTGTCCAACAGTTAACGTTCATAAAGCAGTTAAGATAGCCTCTTCAAGCCAACACCCGAAACTCAGCCACCCTAACAGCTCAAAGCCCTCTAAAGTTTGCCTTTTTGCTCGGCCATGGCTTGGGCAGTCCCGGGGGTCACTCCAAGCTCTGCTTCTCGGCGTCCCTCGCGAGGTTTGAGGGCTTAGGGTTTATGGGTTATAGGGCAGAGGGTTTTTTTGGTGTGTACAGGGTAGCAGCTTTAGGTGTTAGTGCTCACCGGTTATAAGGGTTGTGAATTGGGCTTGGGGTTTAGAGTGGGGTTTTGGGGGCTCTTGAGGCTTCGGGTTCCCAGCAAAGCTTAGAAGGAGCTTTTGGTTGCAGGATTTTGCTTATATGAGGACGTTTTGTCGCAACCTTGCAGAGATGTGCCTCACACCTGTTTGATGCTCTCGTTCCTTTGGCATGAGTCTTCCCACGGACTAGCTCCTACAACCTAAACCCAAGCCATTTATGCCTGGGGTCTTCGTGGGGGAGCTCAGAGTCGTCGTGCTCGTGGGGTTCGATCATGGCCTTTTCTTGATGCTCTTGGGCAGTGATGGCATGTAAAATGTAACTTCGGCTTTAGGGTCTATGGTTGAAGGTTCTGCTTGCATGCATGATGAATGGTGCATACTTATTTTCTCAAATACGCACATACGCGCATGCACACATGCATACATACGCTTACCTACCCACTTAGTTACATACATACACACATACATACATGCCTACATGCATGTATGCATGTGGTTGTACATGCATTCGTGCTCACACACACATGTATACGATTGCACTTGCATGCAACGTACTTACGAAAATATGCATATATGCGCATAAGCACACAGGTACACACACAGAATGGGACATATATGCAAGCGAACATACAAGCCGACAGGCGCACGGGAGCAAACACAAAGAGGTGAACAAGTAGTTACGCAGACATGCACAATGAAAGCACGCATGCTCCACGCCTGCTCATACATTGGTCATACACATTCGTATCGGCACGAACCACTGCATCGACCATGGCAGCAAGGAGATGAACAGCGAAGACTCCTCACAGCGCTGGGAGTTGTAAACGAAGGATGCCAACTAGTAGATGGTTGCTGATAACGGTGTACTCACACTGCGACAAGACATCAGAGTGACCATGACGATGTCGGCGACAACGACGACGACGTTGACGACAACTTCTCACGCCCAAATCTGTCGACGTCACGAGGCAAACGGGACCCCCCCCCCTGCCCCTTTGGATTCGTTGATGCCACATGAATCCTTGAGTCCGAGCCCCCTAAGGTAAAAGCCAGAAAGTTGGAATATGATTATCCTAACTCTTCTATGGTAAATTATAGGGTATCCTACCCTGAAACCATATTCCAACTTTCTGGAGTTCCCTTTAAAGGGCCGTTCAGGTGCGGTCCTTTCAAGGAGCGAGGAACTTCCCAAGACTGGAGTAGGGTCCAAGTGCCGGGAACTCATGTAGACTTCCCCGAATACTAACCTACTCCAGGGTTTAATTATAGTTATAGGGTCGAGGAGCCCAGATTACTACTAATCTACTTTAGGGTGTCGGGTTTGTAAGAGCCCACATACCCACATATACTTATCACTCGTGGACATGCTGACTAGGTCTCTGTTTCTGAGCCCTCTTCCCTACTCGTCACCCTGCACCCCAAACCCCTAAACCCTTAAACCTCTAAACCCCTAAACCCTACACCCCTAACCCCCTAAACCCTACACCCCTAGACCACAAACCCTAAAACCCCGCAGCATTCCGAACACCCCGGAGTCGCCTCTAAGTCCACCTACGTCGCTCACGTGGCTCCATCTCTGCCCCCGAGTGCCGTGAGCACCACGCTCGGACCCTCAGAAGTCTGCATCTTCGGATTTGGGCATTTCGAGGCTCCTGCATAGGACTTTCCTGTATTTCTGCCAGTGTTTGGCAGTTTTAGGGCGTTCTTGTCTGCCGGGCTTGACGAGGGGCTGACTATAGAGGCTTTGCGATTTATAGAGTCTTGTCGGCGTTGCTTTCGGCATGCAGGTGTGAATTTTTGGTTTTGGGACTGTCGGTTTCTTTCCGGTGCAGGGTTCGACACTTCAACCAAGAATGGGTTCACCCTCTTATACCACGTCTAGCCACATGCTCTACACGATGTAAATAGTTGGCCGTCTTGAATTCTACAGGTTTAGGGTCCAAGCTCTTGGTTGAGGGGTTTTTCACCTATGTTCCGCCTTAATGCAAGACTTGGAGAAGCCTCACCTCACCTTTTGGCACTCCTTCGCTTGGCCTTTCGGAGTTCCAGCCATTTCGAGCTGGGGCCACGTCCTGTAGTCCGTTTATGTCAGCGGTTCCCTCTTTTGCTACATATCCTCATTTTCTGGCTCTGCTGTAGATTGGGGTCCTTTTGGCGTCATTTTGTTGCATTTATCAGCGACGACTAGCGGATCTTGAGCTGTTCAACATGCGAGACCCGAACAGCAACTACATTGCAGCAGTGTGGGCCTGCCTTGAACAGTCACTGTAGGCGCAACGTCCTCGCGCTGGATGTGGATGAAGTGCTTTGCCGTTGTGCTGAGGCTTCCGGATGTGAAGTTGGGGTCTCATCGGGCTTTGGTGGGTGAAATTCGGACTCCTGAGAAATTATGAGTGGTGCATCTTTTGGGGGAGTCGAAACCCTGTCGCAGCGCGCTTCCTTCAGGAAGACTTCCCGACATGAGAAACTCTAAACTCGACTCCGAATGCATGCAGGACCCTGGTTAGTTCAGGATGCGGTTTCAATGTTCCTTGTGATAGCTTCAGTTCCAGGACGCCGAGGTTCCACTTTTGCAGATGCTCTCGGTCAACTACCCACCGAACTTATCCTTTCCTCCCCTGAACCCGCAGTGGTGTAACAGAGGGAGCAGCGACACTATGCAAGCCACATGTCGCACTCCAACTTCCCCATCAGCACGTCGGGATCCATGCTCTTGTTCTGAGCGACGGGTTCCTGCCAGAGGTTGGTGCCTTAGACTTCCTCAACTAGGACTAGGACCTCGAATAGGCCCCTATTCCCTCCTTTAGGGTTCAGGTTCCCTTATAAGCCCCTTTAAAGCCCAAAAGGGCGCCCTTTTTATTCCTAGGATACTCTTGGGTCTAGTCAAACACCGAGAGCCCGGAAAATTCCCGAAGGCCTAAACCTGTAGGAGCCTGGTACCCTGAGCTTCCCGTGAGGCCTTCGTGCAGTGGCAGTTTGGCCAGGCTCCCGGGGATCTGGTCGTTCCTCGCTGCAACGGGTCGGGTCTTGCGGTTCAGAGTTTTTTGGGATTAGGATGGCCTTAAGGGTTTGGGGGTTAGGGCGATTAGGGTTTAGGTATAGTGCAACTGTTGAAAGCTCAAGAAGCTTGTGCATCTCGTTCCTGTGCATCGTCTCACTTCGAAGTTTGCCCGCTAATATGGCAGCAGTAGTAGTAATAATAGTTGTACTACTACTACTACTACTACTAATAATAATAATAATAAGAATAATATCAATAATAATAACAATGGCCGCAACAGTCGTATATCGCGACCTGGCAGCCCGCTGATACTGAGGAATGCTTCCAGCGCTGCTACTCCTCCGATGCTTCTGCGGCAAGGGAGCAATTCCTCAGTTCCTCTGCCGCTGATTCTCTTGGTTTCGGGGTCCCCAAACCCTAAGCCCCAAGCCCTACCTTAACCCCAAATAGCCTACCCTTTTTTCAGGACTTCTAGAAAGAAACCATCTTAGGGAACCCCCAAAATAAAGGTAGGTTCTTTGGGATCCAAGTATACCCTAAACCCTAAACCCCTAAACCCCTAAACCCTAAACCCCTAAACCCCTAAACCCCTAAACCCTAAACCCCTAAACCCCTAACCCCTAAACCCCTAAACCCTAAACCCCTAAACCCCTAACCCCTAAACCCCTAAACCCTAAACCCCTAAACCCTAATATGGGGCCCAGGGCGGCCGGATGCCAGCTCTCAGTGAAATTTGGGGCTTCGAGCTCCTTGTGGGGGACTTCAGGGTGCTGGGGCTTGAGGTGAGGGGATAAGGGCTCTCTCTTGGGGTTTAGGGATTAGGGTTTAGGATTTAGGGTTGAGGGTTTATAGGGTCCGAGGGATGTACATGGAACATGACATCCAGACGTAATTTGCGGAGAATTTTAGAAGTGTTTGTAACCAACCGTGGTCCCAGAAGCACTAGAAGACGAGAATGCAGAGAAGATAGCCATGGCTCGGATGTTTTTTGCACTTTGCTCAACAACTGGAACTGACCATTGTGGCGGGAAGCTTTCTCTTTTTACTAAACTTTCTTGAAAGGCATGTCGTCTCGATTAACTCTGAAGATCCTACCTTTTTGAGGACTTACATAAGGGAATCATAATAGGGAACCCTGACAAGGTAGGTATTTCAGGGTTAAGGTAGGCTTTACAGGGTTTGTCTCGAGGAGGCTCGAGCCCTGACCCTCTAAGCCTTGACGATTCATGGCTGCGTGTCTTTGCACAGTGCCTCCAATGATGGACAGAGTGAGCTTTGAACCCCTAATCTCCTCGACTTCTATGAACCCCAAATAAATAGCAAGTAAATAACCATTCTGATGGCAATCCCTAGCTTTGACATTTCTAACCCCTCGATAAGCCGGAGCACTGAGCTTGCCGATTTCGGATGTGCGGCAAGGCTCTGACTTCGCGACCTTGGCGGAACCTGTGTCTCCTTGGTTGCACGAGGTCTGCAGGACTGTGGGGTAAACATAGGGGCCTGAATAACTATCTATGCTATTTTGGAGCTTCCTTACTGTAGTTATAGTATAACTATAATGGGCACCCAGAGCCCCATTTTAGTTCTTTAGGCCCCTATATTAGGGTTCAGGCCGTAAGTGTTTTGGTAAATCGCGTCTGGGATTATATATTAGATTCAAGAGTCTGAGCTCACACTTGCAAGGGAATCTGCACTTACATCCTATGGTCCTATAAGCCCTTTGCATCAGGTATATGGTATATGTTTTGTTTTCTGTATAGTATTTTTAATACAGACTATACTGTTAGATATTACCAGTATCCCTCCTTCCTCAAATAGGGGTATATGGTCCCAAATAAGTGGCATTTAGGGTCTAACAGAGGGTAGATTGAGGGCCTAGGTAGAAACCCTAAACTTAAACCGGTTTGAGGCTCAGGAGTGATTCTGGAGGGGGCGCGGCGGGGGACTCCTGAACCCAGAGACTCCAATACCCCTTAATTAAATTAGGGAATATTCCTTAAACCATATAAGGGATCCTATTATAATTTAAGGTATATTCCTTAAGTAAGGGATATTGGAGTCTCTGGGAAGCGGCCCAGGCACGGGTGCCCCGAGGCGCTGCAGCAGCTCAAAGCTTTGGGTTGGGAGGCCTCTGACTTGTACTTAAAGGATCCTGGGACTTAGTAACTAGGGTTCCTTAAAGGGGTCCTTAAAGGGTTCATCAAAAGGGATCTATAAGGGTTCTAGAAGAGGGGTTTTGGGGTTACTTAAAGGATCATGCGACTTAGTAGCTAGGGTTATATAGGGTAACTATACTTATAACTAACTTACTAAGTCCCATGATCCTCCAAGTAAGGTTTCGGGTTCCATTTAAAGGGTAGGGTTTAGGGTTTAGTGTTTAGGGTTCCATTTACAGGGTTCTGCAGGGTTTAGGGATTTGGGTTGAATTGAGGGTTTGGGGTTTCGGGTTCCTTCGAGGGTACCGTTGAGGCTTCTATAAAGGGCTACCATAAGGGTTAGGGTTTATGCTTTGGGGTTTAAGGTTTCAAAGGACTTCGAAGCTTTTTGTTTTTGGGGGGTTCCTTTCGGGGTTCCTTTAAGGGTTCTCTAAGGGCTACCATAAAGGTTAGCACTCACAGGCTTAGGGCTTTCTTCAGGTTAGGGTCTAGGTCCCAGAGTAGTGGGTTTTGTTCACATGAACTCTAAACCCTACACGCCAGCGCCCCAAACCTGCGCTTACGACGTACAAACTCACCACCCACCACTTGCCACGCAACGGTGATTTTGATTGTTTACGAGGCGCAGTCGAGCCACACATCATGTCGGTACTTGGGGGATCATGGGACTTAGTAAGTAAGGTTAGAAGTACCCTAATTGGGGTTATAAGTAGTTATAAGTCTAGTTACCCTAACTATAACCCTAGTTACCAAGTCCCATGATCCTTTAGGTATACTTGCAAGACTCCAGCCCTTGCTGTCAGCTTCACGCGGTGACATCGCGTCCAGCCAGTGCCAAGGCGAGTTCCTTGGCTGCCTTTGTGTTTTTTGGTTTAGGGTTTAGGGTCATAACAAATGCAGGCAGGGGGCTTTCGCAAGATTAGGGATTCCTTGTTTATGATGGGGTCCTGGGAGTGAGAATACCTTAGTTCGGATACATGGGAGTTTGGCAAGATTCGGATGCCTTGTCGCATGAGGGCCCTTGTGGTCAAAATATGTTTTGTCGCTTCGCACGAAGATGCTGGTGGTGTAGGGCAGCGGCCTTTGGTGAGTTATTGTCTGGGAGGTTTATCCTTTCTCAACAAAGGTTCTACTTGGGTCCACCCATTATGTTGTCCTGCATCCACAACTGTTCTTGTTTGCTCTGGTACTGCGGCTGGTTAAGGGATGAGCAAGTTGAATGCAGGTGATGTCCAGAAGATGGGTGCCTTCATTCCAACCTTCCAAGAGCTTGTGAAACCTTGCCACATCAGAAAGTCAGGATGGAATCGCGAAGCCTCTACAGCTTGCACAGCCGTGCGCGTACTGCTCAGCACTCATCACCGAAGGAACACTACAAACACTACAGCCGTCACTACAACTCCAAAACAGTAGTACAACCGTGACTACAGCCCCGAGCCCACAAACTTGTGCGCTACAAAGCTGCATAGTTAAGGCCCACCCACCCTGAACCCCAGACTCCCCAGACCGCCGTACAAATCAAGACGAAGACCTAAACCTAAACCTCCAGCTCAGGCACGGAGCGCTTCTTGGCCCAGCGCTCCTGGGACTTGTTAAAAGGGCTTTAGGGGCTTTAGGGCTTTAGGGGCTTTAGGGGCTTTAGGGGTTTTAGGGGTTCAGGGGTTTAGGGGTTTAAAGGTTTTAAGAGTTTATAGGGTTTCAAAGCACGCTGAACGCGGGTGATTCTGGATCCATTGTGGACTGTCGATTTCTCCCATCGGGTACGAAGCAGCTTCCGTGATTCTGTCCTTGAAATTCGCATCAGGACCAGACTGCTTAGCTAGCTAGTGGCCGGTCAAGCAACTCGCAATCCGCTTTGAACGTTTAGCTTTTAAACCCTGTAAAGCCTACCTTAACCCTGAAATACCTACCTTTTCAGGGTTCCCTATTATGATTCCCTTATGTAAGTCCTCAAAAAGGTAGGATCTTCAGGTTAAGGTAAACCCTAAACCCAAACCTCGAACTGTAAACCCGAAGCCTCCCTCTGTCGAGGGTTCCCTGGGCTCATCAGCGGCCTGCACTTCACCTCCTCTGCCCGGGAAGGCTGGATTGCAGAACAAGGGTTCGCACTTTCACCTTCAGAAAGCCCGCTGGCGTTGCTAAAGGGGCTTGAACACCAAAAAGAATGCATCCTTTTAGAACCCTCGAGAACATACGTACATGCGTATACAAACAAACACACACACACACACACATAAATGCATACATGCAGCAGGGTGAGGGTGCTGTTTGGCTGAGGTTCGGACTGGGAGGTTTGAGGCTCGTCGGGCTCAACAGCTCGGGCTGCATCATGCCCTTCAACTGACTCTGGCCCTCAGGCATTCTTCGGTGAAGACGCAGAACGGGGTAAGCTTGCGTAGGGCTTCGCGTTTAGGTCAGGGTCAAGGTTTAGGATGCAGGGTGTTCCTGTGTTCAGGTTCTAGGGCTCACAGTCAATGTTACGGCTCAGCAAGACCATGAAATCTACGCAGTAATGTAGGGGCCTTAATAAGTACAATAGGGTTTTGGGGCCCATTATGCTATAATTAGAGTAAAGAACCCCCCAAGTAGCACAGGTCATTTTTGAGGCCCCTACAATACCGTTTTGGGTCACCTGCAGGGACCCCAAGGGTGACGTGTTGCTGACAATCCCATTGCCAAGAGCCCTCAGTCGATTAAGCCCCTGAAGCATTAAATCCCTCAAACGAGAAGACCCTATTTGGAGGGTCATGGGACTTAGTAAATAAGGTTATAAGTACCTTGATTGGGGTTATAAGTATAGTCACCCTAATTATAACCCTTGTTACTAAGTCCCATGATCCTTCAAGTAAGCTTCCTCTAACTTCGAGGTCTAGCTGTATGCCCTATCCTGCCGTCAGGACCCTCGAAGGGTCAACTCTGCTCTGCTTTGGGTGCCCGGGCGCTGGCGCCTTGGGTCGATATAGGGCCACCGGTCTGGAGCCGTGGTTTCGGCATTCGGAGTTCAGCATTGTGGCCGGGAGGGTCTTTTCAATGGCTTAAGCTGGTGCTTGAGATCCATTTTAGGGGTCCTTGGCGAGAGTTTTGGAGCTGGGAGTCTGGCATCCGACTCAGCGGGCGCTAGACCTGACACGGTGTGAAATATTGCATATAGTCACATAGATATATCAAGCACACCCGACGCCAAATACTTCCAGCCAGCACCAAAAATCACTTGACAGCTCCTGTATACATATAATGGATGTTAGCTATGCGCAAGCGGAAGATCTCCAGAGACTATGCTCGAAGGTAGACGACCAGCTGCCCAACGTCTACGATGCCGTGGCACACGGCCGGGACATCTTCAAAAATCTAGTTTAGGTTCTTTGGGGTTTAGGGGTCTAGGTAAACTCTAAAGTCCACGACCTGGAGTTACACACTGAAGCGCAGAAAGCTGCAAGATGGGGGATGATTAGTACGAGAATTCCTGGTACTTTACTTATGGGCATCAGGGTAGGGGTATTCCAAATTTCTGGAAATATCATACATGGGGGTTTTGATGAAGTAGTCACAGTACCCTCATGTAGTCCCTTATTATAAATACTTCTATTATCTGCTGTAGCATATATATGGCCCTCCCTGGCTGCCATACTTGTTGTTAGAAGCCTGAAGAGTTCCTAGTACAAGTCCACAGGTTTCAAGTTTCAGTCAGAAGTCATAGTAGCAGAGTCCCGTAACCCTTCTTCTAGCTGTTCAGGGCCCTGTTTGGGAAGTTCGGTCCAGGGGTGTGCGGAATTGAAGGAAACGGGAGGGCGAACAATGTGAACTCCCCGGAGGCATTCATGCATCCAGGGGTTTAGGGTGTCATGTGGCCTTTCGGACTTGTAGGTATGCAGGTAGGGTCGAACAGAGGGTGGATGGAAAGCCTCTTCAGGGTCTAGGGCGTAAGGTTTGTAGAGATCACCTAAAGACCAGAACACCTTGCCACGGCCCCTTGAGTAGTTAAACCCGACCCCTTTTCCAAAGCTTACAAGCCCTAAACCCCTAAACGCGAAAACACGAACCCCCCTAAAGCCTGAGCCCTAAACCCTAAACCCCATAACCCTAAGCCCAAGCACTAAATTCACTAAATCGCCAAAGTCCAACACATACTTTGTTGCCATTCACAGGGGTCTCCGCTGTGGTTTTGGATCTGCAAGGCAGCTACGTGGCTTGTCTGTGGTGGAGGGCTGTGGGGTTTTCGGGTTTAGGGGGACTGGAGCGGGAATTGTGGAGCAGCCATACACTCCAGAGCAAGTCTTGGTCTTGGCTACAGTTTGATTACAACCCTCAACTAACTACCGACACAAGATCAAACAAGGCCCAACGAACAAAGGTAGTCAGTATAATGGCTGTATTGTCGCTCGGGATAAACCTCTGAGGTTTACGGTCAAGCGTCAGGGTTCGCCAGCACTGGATTGAGTGTTCCTGTCATTCATATTCGTACCTATAGTCTCCATTGTAGTTCCTTTTTTTGGTTAGACCAATTTCATTAGTTAGGATCCTACAAGGTAACCCTAAAAAGGAACTACAATGGAGACTATAGGTAAGCCCTGTTTCCCACCACGGCTCTTGAAGCAGGGAACCTGTGCTCGCACACTTCCGCGGAGCCTTCTTGGTAGAGGGTGTGGGGCCTGAAGCGCTTGAGATTGCCGGAGATTGGGGTCAGGGTTCAGGGTTCAAAGCCTCAGAAGGCCCTAAACACTAAAATCCCTAAACCCCTAAACACTAAAATCCCAAACCCCTTCAGCCAACACGCACCCAGCCCTTGAGGCAGCCCTTTCACCCCAACATCCTAAGCACCAACGCCCAATCCAGACCCTCGTAAGGTTTAGGGTTTAGGGTTTAGGGTTTTAGGGTCTAGGGTTTAGGGTTTAGGGTTGTTAGCTTCCTTTTCTGCGGCTAAGTTTGTTCGTGACAGTGAGGCCTGGAACCACAGCGGAACGCTGCCCGACGGCGCCACGCGCGCCCGGTCCTGGGCCGAGGTGCTCGCCTACCTGAGCCGTGGCATTGCAATGGCTGATCTCCCCTTTCTGTCCCGATAAATGCACCGCAGGTTAAGTTGCATAGTTCTATGATCATAGACCCCAACTATCGGTGCTTTCAGTGGTGTTCGTCCTGGGGCGCGGGACGTGACTGTTTTGGGCCTTGGATGCTGCAAAACCATGAGGGCTGGTTTCGAAGGGTTGTGGCTGAACGGCCAAACTCGAAGTATCTCGAAGCCTTTACTGACATGCGTAAGCTGCAGGTTTCAAGTATTTGGATTGTCTCCAGCCACAACTCGTTACAAAACTGAAGTTGTCCAGACTCGAATCGAAGTTTCCAAAACCGCCAAAGCAATGCTAACCAACTGCCCGAAACAAGGGCCTAGCCATGTGTAGCTGTTCTTCGGGATATGTCTGGAAACAGTTCAGCTGGCTAAAACAGATCCAATAAACCTCGTAGACATACAAAAACCTTACCCTAATTCCCAAGGCCCCCCATCTATGACCCTTGGCCCAGGACTAGCCCACCCGCAACATCTGCCAATGCGGGCTACACACCGCGAGGGTGGGCCGAAATTATAGCCCAAAGGGTCCAAGGATCATTATGGTATATACTTATAGGGTATTTTGGGGGTCTAAGTATCTACCAGAATGATACTTGGACCCTTTGGGTAGGTTAAAGTAGGATCATTCGGGGCTGTCTTGAGGCGGCATAGTTGGTTTGGTATAATCGGGGCTTCTTGTTTCTCATACCCCGGCTTGGTGGGTTTTGGAGTTTTCGGTGGTTCGGGTCGCAAGGTTTTCCAGACCTGCGAGCTGTGAGTCTGAAACATCATTCCAAGGGTAAAAGGAGGGACCCTTAATAAGGACCCCTAGGTATATACGCTTAATATAGCTAGTATTATAGGGTAGGGGTCCCCATTGAGGGTCCCTCCTTTTCCCCTTTGAGTCATGGTGTAAGTTTAGGAGAGTTGAGGGCTTCGGGTGTCCGAAGAGCATTCCTGATCGCGAGTCCGAAAACTGAGATCCCCGAAGCCGCCAGCCTTGCTCCACCTGAAGAGCCTCAAAGCCTTCTCCATATATCTTGTGCATGGCGGCCTGCTTCGTGGATTGCCAGTCGGGGTCCAATCGTCACAAGTATGTGCGGGAATTTGTCGTGGGATCGCAAGGTAGCTCCTATAAATCAACAGCCAACAACCTCAAACCTGCAGCCTTCAGACATGTCGTTTGGGCTACTGTAGACCCGGTACAGATGTCTGAAAGGGCGTTGGATTCCCACGGTAGTCCCTGACTCCAACTTGGTTGAACCTTATATAAGCCCCCAACCCACCAAGGCTTCAATTCCAACCTTAAACTCCCAAACCCCAATCCCCTGATTTCAAGTTCTCTGAGTTCAACCTGTCTGTACAAGGGCTCCGAGCCCGCCGGCATCAACAGCTTCTGCGTACCTCCCACGGTCACAGCCGCTCGGTGTCAAGGTCTCGGGGGTTGTTAGGATGATGGGGCTTGTTGGATTTTTGGTCTAGGGTACTGCGTTTGCGAGAGTTTTTGTTTGCGAGATTTTACTGGCAATGGATTGTGTCTAGAGAGAACATGAAAGGCTCAATCGTGCCCCATTCGGTTATGCCTATAATCTGCCCCCAAACCCTACATCAAGGCCCCTGCGATCCGAATGGTCTGGAGATGCCTGCTTTCCAAGCAGTAACCGCAAGCTGGCTGACATGCCAGGAACTCATACTTCTGATGCTATGTTGCCAGTTGGCTTGCTTGTGAATAGAGACCTGAAGCAATCTCTGATTCAGTATTTAGTTACTGAGCAATGTTCTCGCTCAGAGTCCTTATTTCAGTCATGCCTCCAAAACCGCTTTCTGATTATAAAGGCCCCTACATTCTTAGACATGATGTCACATGATCCAATCCACGGTAGTTGCGGTCGTGAGTCGGGGTGCTAAGTCCTAAGCGAGACCCTGTACAGCACGAAGCACGGCGAACCCTTCCTGCCCTAAACCCTCTAATCCCGAAAGCCTGTAATTCCTATAGCTTTCATAACCCCTCTTCCCTCAACCCCCAATCCCTAATCCCTAAACCCCAATCTCTTATCTCGAAACCCCAACTCTCGTTTCAGCTTTCCCCAGGCCCGATGCCGGCTCGGTGCCCAGCTCACAAGCTGCAGCATACATGCCCCAGACGATGCAGCTCTTCGCTTCAAATTTGCTGTGGTACTATAAGGGTTTAGGGAGACTTAGAAGGCCCCTCGTGAAAAGATCTTCTAATCCCTCTATAAATAAAGCCCTACTAAGTCCCTTCAAATCCCATAAGTCCTCAAAAATCTCTAAAATCCCTTTGAGTTTGAGCCCTACTAAGCCCTGAAACAGAAACCTGGAGAATCCTGTAAACCTCTCTACTTCCTTTCTGAAGCCCTACTAAGCCTACTAAACCCCTTTAAATTTCATAAGCCCTCAAAAATCTCTACACTCCCTTCGAGCCCTATTTAGCCCCTGCGAAGCCCTTTTACATCCTTCAGGGCCTCAACAGTCTCCATAATCCTGTTGACTTTTCAGCCCCACTCAGCCCCGAAACAGAAACCCTTAAGAAATCCGAAAAGCCCTCAAGAACATGTCAAAAAACCCTCAAAAATCTCGAACACCCTAAACCCAAAGCCTCTAACCCCTAAACTCTTTTGAGCCCTACTTCTTTTTAAAAGAACATAGGTTTTGTTTAAAAAGAACCTATGCCCAGGAAGGCGCTCCCGGAGCTGCCGGATCACAGCCGCTTGGCCGCTCCGCAGCCGGAAGCCCCGCCGAAGCCTCAGCTGGAAAGTCCGCCGGGCTGACTTAGTAACCGGGGTTCCTTAAAGGGTTCCTTATAGGGTCCCTTCTTATTATAGGGTTCCTTAAAGGGTTCCTTATAGGGTCCCTTCTTATTATAGGGTTCCTTAAAGGGTTCCTTATAGGGTCCCTTCTTATTATAGGGTTCCTTAAAGGGTTCCTTATAGGGTCCCTTCTTATTATAGGGTTCCTTAAAGGGTTCCTTATAGGGTCCCTTCTTATTATAGGGTTCCTTAAAGGGTTCCTTATAGGGTCCCTTCTTATTATAGGGTTCCTTAAAGGGTTCCTTATAGGGTCCCTTCTTATTATAGGGTTCCTTAAAGGGTTCCTTATAGGGTCCCTTCTTATTATAGGGTTCCTTAAAGGGTTCCTTATAGGGTCCCTTCTTATTATAGGGTTCCTTAAAGGGTTCCTTATAGGGTCCCTTCTTATTATAGGGTTCCTTAAAGGGTTCCTTATAGGGTCCCTTCTTATTATAGGGTTCCTTAAAGGGTTCCTTATAGGGTCCCTTCTTATTATAGGGTTCCTTAAAGGGTTCCTTATAGGGTCCCTTCTTATTATAGGGTTCCTTAAAGGGTTCCTTATAGGGTCCCTTCTTATTATAGGGTTCCTTAAAGGGTTCCTTATAGGGTCCCTTCTTATTATAGGGTTCCTTAAAGGGTTCCTTATAGGGTCCCTTCTTATTATAGGGTTCCTTAAAGGGTTCCTTAAAAGGGATCTGTAAAGAGTCTACAAGAGGGGTCTTAGGCTGACTTAAAGGATCGTGGGACTTAGTAACTAGGGTTCCTTAAAGGGCTCCTTAATGGAGATCTACATGGATTCTATAGGCTCTACTTGGAGGTTCATGGGTAGTTATTCGTGGGTTATAAGAAGGGTAACTATAGTTATACCCATAGTCTCCAGTGCAGTTCCTTTTTTGGGTTACCTTATAGGATCCTAAGTGGTCTAACCCAAAAAAGGAACTACAATGGAGACTATTAGGCAACCATCAGTGGACTTATAACTCAGTTATAACTACCCATGAAACTCCAAGTAGAGCTGGTTAGGGTTTGAAGTTTAGGGTTTGTAGTGCTGCTTAGGATGCCGGGTTTAGGGATGCTTAGGGTTTAATTGTTTACAGCATACAGAAGTTTCGGGTTTAGGGCTGTTTAGGATGGATTTAGCGCTCAGGGCTTCGCAGGTGGGGTTTTGTGGTTTCGGGTTGCATGAGAGTTTAGCCTAAAGTCTGTCTATATCTATCTGTACCTGCTGATTTTTATTTGCTTGTCAATCGGCATGTTATTTTGCATCTAGGTTTCTGGACACAACAGCGCTTTGCCTCCCAGGGATAATGCCACAAAAGCAGCAGAATTGTAATGCAGGGGGATGCCGGCGACGCAGTGTATGCGGGCGCAGCCTCTTGGCTTCAGACCGAGCAAGTTGCTCGAATTCCAAGCCTGATACCGGAACCCTAAACTACACCTGAACCCCCGCGTACCGCACCCCATCCCGAAGCCCCAAAACCCAAACTGCAGGGTTCAGTCACTTGAGGGCACAAGAAGCCCCTTGTTTCAATCGGGCTCAACTTGTTCTGAACTTGAACCCGGAGGTGCTGGACAAGTTTCGGCCAGAACTTCGAGATTCCCTCAAGCTGAGGGGCACAAGGCCCTGAGCATATTACAAGAGCCCTACATAGTAAGGACGGGAAGGCTTAATACTGAAGCTCTTTGTCCCTCCACATGTGATGCCCTGCACATCCAGGCAACCCTAACGCTGAAGCGTAAAGCTTGTCAGCAACTCCCGCCTCCCTCCCAACAAAAAAACTCCCCGAACACCTCAGCACTGCCCCCTTCAACAATGAAACATATACTATTGCACGCACTACGTTCGCTTAGAAGGGCTCAACATCCAAACCAGCAATCGGCTCGCATATCCATCTACCTTGAGCCCCACAGCTCTAGCGCCAGCAAAAGTCCTTCAAGAATCTCTATTCCCCGAACCCCTAAACAAGCCTAAAGCCGAAAGCCATAAACCCTATATAATTTGGTCCTTCAAGGACTCACAGCTGCCATGAACTGCGCTAAGCCCGAAACCCTGAACCCTGTAAGCCTTTAGAAACTCTGAAATCCTACAAACCCCGACGCCACCAAATTTTATGGAACCCTTCTAGATCCCTATTAAAGGAACCCTTTAAAGGGTGCCCCTATTTTTCGGAAGCTCCCTTAAAAGTTAAGGCCCTTGATTTCGAGCCTAGGAGCCCTCCACTAGAAGCCACTCCGGGCGAAGTGCGCCAGGCTCCCTTTTTGGGGCTTTGGGGGTTCTTGGGTTTATGGATTTGGGGTTCAGCGTTTCGGGTTTGGGGTTTTAGCTTGGGGTTTAGGGTTGAGGGTTTTCGAGTTTGGGGGTTTAGCTTGGGGTTTGGGGTTTAGGGTTTTCGGGTTTGGGTTTTAGCTTAGCGTTTAGGGTTTTCGAATTGGGGGTTTTAGCTTAGGGGGTATACCGGTATACGGGCACGAGTCGTTTTTGGAAGCTGCCCATCAGGTGACCTTCGCTCCACGCCAACCCCTGGGCATCTATGTGGCGGACGTCACGCATGGCCGGGTAACGGAGGCCCGGGGATCGTCACCAAGCATGATATACCACTTTGCCGCACCAAGCTTTGTGGCAAGGTCCCTGCATCCGGATCATCCTGCCCCCACACCTATGCTGCCTCACATCACTCCCAGTCTCAGTCTGTCTCTCTCTCTCTCTCTCTCTGTCTCTCGCTCTATCTCTCTCCCTCGCTCTCTCTTTCTCTCTCTCTCCCTCTCTGTCTCTCCCTCTCTCTCTCTCTCTCTCTCTCTCTCTCTCTCTCTTTCTCCCTCTTTCTGTCTGTCTCCTCACGCATCTCACATGCACTTGAAACTTGATATGTCTACGTATCTGTGTATCTGTCTCTATCTGTCTCTCTCTTGCTCCCTCTCTCTATCTCTGTCTCTAACCTGTCTTTATCTCGATTTCTATGTCTATCTGTATCTCATACAGCCGAAACCCAAAACCTGTAAGCCTTAAAGCCCCCAAACGAAAACAAAAAACTATGTTGGCCAACATCGTAGCCTCCAAACCCATGGGTTCCAAAAACTGAAACCCCAAACCTGTAAACCCTACCCCCCCCCCCCCCCCAAAAGGCCACATAGCCTCCAAACCCATGGGTTCCAGCCGTCTCCCGAGCCCCGGAAGCCTCAGGTCTTCGAGGGCCAGGCCAAGGACTCTCCGAAAAAGCTTTTAGGGTTTGGGGAAAGTGTTTGTGGATTTGGGGTGTAGGGATCAGCTGCTTTTTTGTTTTGTGAGTTTGGGGTTTAGGAGTAAACATTAAGGTAGATTTTTTGTTTAGTTTTTTTGAAGGGGGGTTAGGTTGTTCTTTGGGTTTTCCGACCCAGGGTTGAGGGTCTCGTTTTTCATTTTTGTGAGCCAACGGTTGTTTAGGGTTTAGGCGTTTTACGATTGGGGGTTCAGGACTGAGGGGCTTAGGGCTTCGAAAGCCCAAAGTTTCGGATTCCGTAAGGGTCCTTGAAGGTTGAAAGGAGTGCAAGGCATAGCCGAGTCGAGGGTCTAGGCTTTCGGGTCGAGGGTGATGGAAGCATGCAGGATTTTGGGTCTGCATCTTGGATAGTGAACGGGGAACTTTAAACTTTGTGGCATCATATATCAGCTCTATCATTGAAAGTTTGAACTTTTGGGGGCCCGGTTGTTGAAGAAGAGAGGCATAAGAAGGATCCTCAGTTACAGAGTTGGTACCCAACTGACCAGAAGCTACCTCTTAGAGGCAATGCAAGTGGTGGGTAGGGTCTAGCATTTATTAGGGTTTAGGGTGATATCAGGACTTTACCGCAAGTCTGTCTGAATGCTTCAGGACTTGGGGGTGGATCCGCATCTTGGCCTTTGCTGGCACAACCGAAGTTGCCAATGCTTGTATTGAAAAGTTGAACTGTGCAACAAGAGCGCATATTTTGTTTCTTGGACTGAGGCGCAGCTGTTGCCAGGCGGTTCTAAAGTCAGAAGGCGTATCACCTGAAGCACACAGCATAACATGCGCTAGCTAGATGGAATGTACAGGAATCCAAAAGCCTGCTTGGTTTGCGCAGATCCCAACTAGTTACACCCTTGAGGTGGTCAAAGCATGCTCTACATCAAAGTCGGCATTCACTCGCACACCCCAACGTCCTATTCTCTAAACCCTAAACCCTAAACTCTAAACCGGAGTTATACGGTTGATGATATAAATCCTGCATTACCTCAAGGACCCTAAAGTATGGGAATTATGGTATATTCCCTATTATGGGTAATGCACGATTTATATCATCAACAGTAGGGGGGGGGCCCTATAGCTCCTCTCTGCTACAGCCAACCGACCAACCTTGAACGGCGACTTCTGGGCTCCTCAGCCCTGAGCAAGGCTGCCCCGCCCTCTGAGGTAAGGGTTTAGGATTTAGGGTTTTGGGTTCAGGATTTAGGGTTCAGGGTTTAGGTACTTCATGATCCTGTCCATCGACGGGCAGCCGTACAGAGACTTCCCTGCATTTCAGAAGCAACGTGCGATTGAGAATTGAAAGGCTCCTCCAGACGACAGCAGCTCCAACTATGACGGCCAGAATCGCTCACACAACCCTAAATTCCTAAATTTGTTTTAAAGCCCTGGATCGTGCATGGAGGAAGTCGTGAAGCTCCTGCATTGTGACCCAAAGATAGGCTGAACACCTCGTTCACACTTGTACGATGGCATCGCGTTTAGGGCTTCGGGTGGGGTAATTCTAAGTCCTGAGCTCCAAATTTGTGGTCCAAGAAGATCGTCTTCGTGTTCGTCAGTTGCTGTTTGGTTTGATTTCCGTCTGAGTGTTGAGAACTGTTTGTGTCGCCCTACACACGAAGCTCGAACAAACCTCAAACTCTTGTCAGTTCACCAGGTGAAGCGCTGTTGGAGCAGAAGAAGAGCGGCAACGCACCCTACTCGGTGGCTTGGCTGACTCCTGGGATTCAGGGTTCAGGGTTCCCAGAGACTCCAATATCCTTCAATTAGGGAATATACCTCACATTAAAGTAGGATCCCTAATATGATTTAAGGTACATTCCCTAATTAAGGGATATTGGAGTCTCAGGGTTTCGCGGGCCTGAGCTGCTTCTCATGCAAAGCAGCCCAAAGCCTCCTGCGGGTTGAAACCGAGAGCGCAAAAGCCTTGCGGATGACTTCACAACCAGCTCTGTCATAGCTGGGTAAAGTTCTACATGTTTAAGGGTACTTAACGCCAATGAGGAATACAAATTAAAAATTTTTAATCCTATCCCAATCATGAACTAGCCAGCTTGACACCCCTCATCCCCGTAAGCACCCGCACAAACGGCCCACTAGACTCGACCTCTCCAAGGCCCTGCAAAGCCCTAATGTAGGAACCTGATTAAGAATCCCTGGGCCTATAACTCCAAAATAGCAGGATTCATCTACGGAACCCTAATATAGGCCCAAGGTCTCGAAATCAGGTTTTCTACATTATAAACACCACTATGAAGACTCTCTTCTGAGCCCTGTGATTAAGCGCGCCCAGATGATGATCCGCCATGTCGCACCTCCGGATGCCGAGATCGCCCTGGAGTGTGCCAAGGCGGGCGGGGAAGGCTTAGAGTGCAGGGTATAGGTTTCAGGGTTTAGGGTTCAAGGGCGCCAGGTTGAAGGGTTGAGGAGGGGTTTATAGAGGCAGGGTCGGTTTAGGGCTTAAGGTCCAGGCTTTAGGGTTTCGGGGAGTCCAACACAGTGTAGTCTCAGGATTCACGAAGTTCCAGCTTCAGGCGTCTGGGGTTGGCGGTGTGGGTTCAGGATTTGGGGTGGTCAGGGGGTTCAATGCTGTAGTAAATCTCCAGAACCCTTTCTAGTCAGTAAGGCCCTGAGCGGTAAGCCCTCTTGGAACCCATTCTATACTAAGTTTACTAGCCCTAAACCCTCAACACTAAACTAAACCCTCAACCCTAAACTCTCAACCCTAAACCCTCAACCCTACACCCTGAACCGTGCCAGGTGGTGGGTCAAGACGTCTCCGTCTTGCCCATGGAGGTGAGGCGGCTGGCAACTCGGCGGGATCAGAGGTTTAGGGTTTAGGCATTAGGGTTTTAGGGTTTAGGACTTAGGGTTCAGGGTTTAGGAATTAGGGTTCAGGGTTTAGGAATTAGGCTTCAGGGTTTAGGGTTTAGGAATTAGGGTCTAGGGTTTAGTGTATGAAATTTAGGTTCAGGGTTTAGAGAGAATGCTTAGGATTGGGGGCCTTGGTAGTCTGGGGGCCTGGAGCTTAGGGTTTATAACTTTTCTAAGGCTTGCCTTCGGTTTTAGGATCGGGTTTGGATCCTCTTAGTTTAGTTTTTTTGGGGGGTTGGGACTAGTTAAAGGACCATCGGACTTAGTAGCTCAGATTATATTTAATTAAGGTAACTAGACTTAGAACTATACTTATAACTCCAATAAAGGTACTTATAACCTTACTTACTAAGTCCCATGATCCTTTAAGTAGTTCCAAGGTTTACAGGGGCTCGGGGAGCTTCCCGGACTAGGAGTTCAGGGTTTAGGGTTTGTGGGGTTTAGGTTTCAGGGTTTCAGGGTTTGTGGTGGCTTAGAGGAAATTGACATTCACTCTGACAGCCTCGTGGAGTGTTTGGGACATCTCGGGAATGAGCATCGCTGATTCTGACGATGCCCATGGCCTTGTCCATGATGTAAGCTGGCTACGTCTGCTATTTTTCGCTTGTCTTTGAATGAATGTATCATGTTTATGAAGTCTGTGCATGCTTTTTCTTGGTCGGCCGACAGAATATGACAGCAGTCTCACAGAACGACAGGTCGACCTTACGAACGTAGAGACAAAGTGCCGGGATTGATGCCTGTTCAGTGCTCTTCTGGCGAAACGGAGGGCCAATGATGCAGCTGATGCTGCTGACGGGTGCCCACTGTAGGCGGCTTTTGCGTTGGTTTGTCAAAGCAGACGCGCCAGCTTTATAGGGAATTGGAGTTTCCTCGACTAAAGCAAGCCCGCAGAAAGCTTCTTCATGTCGGTAAATCGGAGCTTCCAAAAGAGCCAGCGTGTATCCAACGAGTTGTTCATGATGAATAGTGTTCCGTTTATAAAGGGCTCCAGTTACATAAACCGTATGTTACTACTGTAACCATATATTATATTTTCCAGTAGCCTACTATTTAAGTAACTGGAGCCCTGGGGGTTTTATGAGGGAGCATGGTAATCATGATTAGAGGCCTTGGAAACCCTTAGACCCTAAGGGAAGGGGGGACTGGATCCCAAGAGTAGTCCCTATAAAATCCCGAATAACAGTCCCCATAACCCATTACCCCAATCCCTATTAAGAACCAGACTGTAAGCCGCTTATCGAGTGCTCAGGAGCTGGTATTGACGAATGGCGAGCCTGTCAACATCGGGCGCTCTCACCAGGCGTGTCTTTCGCTGGTAGACTGTTAAAGGTGCTCTGTAGGCATGTATGGGGATCTTCTACAGCTTTTGTGAGGGTAGAGGCATATGTATATATATATATATATATATATAGAGAGAGAGAGAGAGAGAGAGAGAGAGAGAGAGAGAGAGAGACAGAGAGAGAGAGAGAGAGTTAGAGAGAGACATGTAGATGTATCGTTTGTTAACTGCAAACTGCATATATATATATATATATATATTTATTTATTTATTTATTTATTTATTTATTTATTTATTTATTTATATTTATATCAAGATATAACATATACAGATATAATATACATATATATATATATGTGTACAAACAAATATACATAGAGAGAGAGAGAGAGACAGACAGATGTCTGCGGAGTTTGGAGATGTTTCTGAGATTCCGTGATGATTATACAGATCGTTGTGCGTAGCACCTTGTTCAGTTCATCAGTGTCAGGAGCAACACTCAAACGGGGTCTCCCGGAATTGACGCCGAAACCCAATAGCCCCAAGCCCCTAAACCTCAATCACGTTGAACGCTGAACTAGTCACACCTCCATGACTGCCAGACGAGCAAGCTGTTGAAGCCCATGCAAGGTCCGACCGCCCCCCCCCCCTATTTCTAGGGAGTAGAATGCAGCCACACAGACACAACCGATACTTGTAGGTCACTGCAAGAACCTCCTGTTTAGGATACAAAGAGCCTTTAAATCGTCCTAACTTGCCTTGGGCCCTCTTCTCGTGGCACAGGCAGAGTTCTTCCAGAGGCTCCTGCCAGACGAGGAGTCGCCAGCGCTCCAAAGCTTTCGAACAGGGCTTAGGGTTTAGACTTTAGGGTATATAGGGTTTACAGGGATCCTTCCTTTACGGTTTAAGGTACGTTACCGAGAAACATCTTCATAGGGGATCCTCGTTCGGCGATTTCAGGTAGACTCCTAGCTTTGGAGCCTGGAGCCTCTGGGTGTAAGGGCTCAATTGTTCAGGTCTGGCTCTGTTCAGGGTTGAGGATCTTACTGTAGGGTGTGTTGCGGGGATTTGGGGGTTCAGGGCTTCAGGGTTTAAGGTTCGGTGTGTTTACCCAAAGTCGCCATTGTACTTCCCTTTTCTGGCTAACCAATTTTATGGTTAGGATCCTATGCTCTAATTTGGTGTTACCGATAAATCATAGCCCTCCATACGCATGCTGCTTCAAGCTGCCTACTGCTTCGATTCTGGGTGCTGCTTGGAATGTGTTAATCAGCTCTGCTATTGGGAGGAGTGTTGCATAGTCATCCTGATTGAGTGACTGTTAACTCAGCAGATCTGCAGGTTGAAAAGCAATGCTCAGGGTTCCACTACCAGTCAAAGACAGAGGGGACTAGCAGGATAATCTCCCAATGCAAGTAAACCCTCAATCTCATGTCGGACAGCAGGAAGGATTTCTTTCACTCGCGCTTCCTCTTGTTCGATGGCTTCATTGCTTCCATCACCCACCGGTGCACCATGAACCATGCCTGCAGCTGACTCCTCTGGCGGGCCACTTGCATTGCAATCGATGTCAAAGATTCATTCAGCTGATCGACCGGCAAAACGGGATTGTAAGATGCAGATGTAGAGGCCCTCAGCTGAGCAAGTTTATGCTCAAAACGGAATGGAAAGCTGAGAGAGAATGAAACATCAGGTAAGGACAAAAACCTGGTCTAATTGGGGCTCCCTCATTCAACAATCATGCACCGACTCTGCATCGAGGTTGCTTGTTGTCATGAGTCAAGCCCGCCGGCAGGCGAGCTTGAAAGTGCGGAAGCGTCTTTGTGCGATGCTGCACATGCGTCACCACGATCTCGGAAGGCATGGCAAACTTGTCCTTCAAGAACTGCGGGATCGCCACAGCATTCGAGATGCTCCTTCTGCTTTCCCCCTCCTGCTCGGCATTCTCCGCTGGCGGAGCTGGTGGCTGCTCAACTTGGGCATTGTCCTGCATGTGACAGGAATCAAAATCGGAGGAGGGAGTACCACGGTTTTTTGTGAATCTCCAGCTGGTTATGATGGCAAGGTGCAGCAATCAAATCCAACTGCCGAAACAACACATCAACCCTTTCGGTTCCTTAGTGGCTGAAACCCAATGTGAACTGGAAGTGGGAGGTTCCAGGCGTTTGAGAACTGTGCAGAACTGTTTCAAGGAATGCTCCAGGGTGCATGGGGGTTGCAAAAGAAAGGCCTGGTCGTCAGGAGAAGCATTCTGCTCCATTTCTCGGACGGCGGCAGCTGCAGCCTTCATCACTTCGTCGCCATCATCTGGCAGCATCTCCTGTTTGGGCATTGCCACATGAAGCACCGTTTCTACATTACAACACCTTGACAGCAATGTCGGTCCTCTTCTCCCTCTGCCTGCTCTTTGTCTTCCTCGTCAGCGTTGTCATCCGTTTTTCTCTTTCGCCTCTTCTCATCCATCATCTGCAGTGTGGCCAAGATCTCTGTGATTCTCTCCTCGGGGATGGCCTCCTTCAACGACGGCTTGTCCATCAGTGCCTTGATCTTGGCACTCTTCGTGGCATTCTTGCGGCAGGAGATGTCCTCGATCTTCAGCATCTTGGACAAGGAGTCGTTGGTGACTTTGAGGATCTCGCCGGTTAGGATCAAGTCCAACGAAAGGCTTCGACCTGCCACACCCCGCCGAAGGATGCAGCAGCTCCCAATCTTCGTGGCAAGAGAGCCTTCCAACCAATGCGTGGTGTACTGGAAGACTTGAACCTGCAATCTCTTCCGATCATGCAGATGGGAATCTTCTAGAGGCAGACAAAAGAAATCTCACTAAATTAGCACCCAGCAATCCTTCTCGAAGTCAAGCAGAATCTCACGGATGAGCGGCCTTGCTGGTTAGGTGCAGATCGGTTACTGGAGGCAAGACTTGTCATTGTCTGCAAGCCTGACTGACTACCACTTGCTGCTAGGATGCTTCTTGGCAGCGAAGACGAGTGCTTTCACATGATCACCAGCATTCAGCGGATCATCGATCTTGAAGCTGTGCCCTTGGCCAGCCACGGCGGTTTCATCCACCGCTTCGGGCGGCAATGGGCCCGCAAAAAACATGTGAATCTCTGCCATCTGCAAAGCCTCACGTCTGGCACGAATGTTATGCTGACAAGGAATAAAAACAATTCACATTTTAGGTTTGCTTTCTTGAAGTAAAGTTGCGTAGAGCAGGCCGGGCGTGCTGCCGACCGCCAAGAGCCACTGGCCATCAACCAGCAAGAGGCGTCCTGGGGCAACCAGGTTGGGCACCCACGTCTTGGATGCCATCTCCTCCATGCACACACCGTTCCTTCGGATGTGCCAGGCTCTATGATATGCTAGGACCAGTGTGCTCAACTCGAATGTTTTTCTATTAGAAGCAGCCGAGTGCATGCCGAGCATCTTCTTGCCCAGCAGAAAAGCTTGCATGAGATTGAGGTTCATTCTTGTGTGGGCATGAGCGGAGGTGCTGCCAAACTTCTTGAGGATGTCGTCAAGTCGGAAATGCGGACCTTTGGAAATCGCTGCTTGAAGTTGTAGTCGTACAGCGGTTGGCGTGCGTATGCTTAGGCTGCGAACCAGAATACGTCTACCGAAAAAACGCATCAACGGCGACCGTCGCATTGACATATTGTTTAGGGTCTTCTTTGCACGTACAGGAAATTTGTGCTTTATTATTAGTGTTCTGCCTGCCTCGTGCCTGGTCTAGACATAAACAGCCTGACATTGCTTAATGTGTCTCTTGCTCTCTCACATCTTGCTTCAGCGTCCTTGCTGAAGAAGCGTTATTTTCTCGTTCTCCTGGGGTTTCCTTGGTTGTTTTGCTTGCGTATTTCTGCTCGGGTTTTGCTCAAGCCTCTGCGGTTGTCTTTTTCCTCAGTGTAGTGTAGTGCCCAATGCCGTATTTTGCTTGTTCCTCTCTCTGCCCCTCTGCGTTTTCTATCTGCTGCGTTGGTGGCATCACATCTGCTACTTGGTTTGATTTGTTGAAGGGGTGTCTCTTTGCTCAATATGAACATTCCCTGTCCAGACTGTCTCTCTGAAAATGCATTGTGCTGTGTACGAGATGGATCAGCCGAGGTGCTGTTGATGTAAGAATCAGCTCTCCAAACATTCGGCTTTATGGCCCTGATTTCGTTTCCCTCGAAATCTTCCGGAGAGAGACTGATAGCTTCTGCGGTCTTCTCGCCTTGGCAGACTTTGTTGGCCACGGCACGAATGCCGAGGCACTGAACATTGGGCACACTGGAAGAGTTGGCTTTCGTGGCTCGCTTGATGCTGTCCTCCATGTGGTTGAAGCATTGCTCAACGTTGCAGGAACTGCCGAGGCGTGGGAACCAAGCCCTCAGGAGGGACTGCGTGGCGGAGTTGAGGACCCAGCCCTCTTTCTCAAAGACACTCATCACCTCTCTGTAGTACACGAACCGTGTGTGGGGGCAGGATGATCGCATGAGGTGATGAAGCTTCAGGCTGTTCTCAGCCTCGACCACCAAACTCCACTCCATCTGCATGGCCCGCAGGATAGCGTTCTTCACATCCTGCTCTGCAGAGCCTCCGTCACACTCTGCCAGCAAGGCGGCTGCTTGGTGGGGCGAGCTTTGAAGATAGACTTTGTACTGCCTAAGTTCCATCAAAGCAGAAAGCCCTGCGTGAATGTGATCGAAGAAGAGCTCCTCTTGCTCTGCTGATCGTCTCTTCTTCACCTGCAGCACCTCGGATGCTGTCCCACAGGCCTTAAGCTTTGTGGTCTCAGGCATTGCACTCCGGAAGGAGAAAACAAATAGAAGAAATGTGCCCTCCAACAAATCACAAAACTCGCTTAGATCTTACTATACTTGTTTCTCTTGAGAGTGTTTTGAAGCCGGGTCAGGGATGTGAGTCCTGGTGTCTGTAAACATAGCACTAGCCGACAAGATATCTACTGGCACAACATGCTTGCGGATTAGGCCGCGATTAAGACCCGTGCGGATTTGCCGCCTATAACAAACTCCGGATTCTGTAAACAATTCCTTTTTTAATGGCTCAGCCAATTACGTGAGTATTACAAGTGAGCGGCTATGCCGCAGCAGACAGGCAGAAGAAAGTAAAGTCGCGGTTTAGCCGCGGCTGGGGTGTTGACAAAATTAGGCGAGCATTGCTGGGTGGGGCGTGGTTTTTAACAAGTTCCTAGCTGATGTCACGTCTTATTCGAACTTAGTGAATTTAAAAAACCCTTGGCTTTTACTCACAATGGCCAAATGAATGCTTAGATTCAACCCCCCTCTGAATGATTGCTTCCCCTCCAGGATGCACGGTCTGGTCAGCACTTGGCAATATTTACTACAAAAAGTATATGCTAGTTGAGAATTGTTTACTTCAGACTTCACATCCCTTAGAGTTACAACAGTTCAAATTGTGTTTACCACCTCACACCCTTGCCCTTGGAAACCGCCCTCTTCAACCATGCCTTGATGAATCTAATGAGTACTTTAAGCCTTCCCTGTAAGCACTGGTTGCTGAGTGCTGTACCCCAAGGGATGATCTACCCTTGCTTCCCCCCTGTTCCCAAGCAGACGAGCAGCTTTCACTTTGATTGGAGGTAGTATAGCCGTACAGTGTTTAGGGGTTTGTCAAGATTCTTGAAGTAATGGACTACACCCGCGGCTATTCCGCGACTAAGTTGCACAGTGAACAAAAGTCATCAGTGTAGGAAACAGATTTTCGACTCTATTATGACTATGCTTGATTAGCTTTGACTGCACACACATCTACCGCATATATTGCACTTGAAACGTGGACACCGAGCGGCAGTG